AAAAAATAAAATAAAATAAATAATCACCATACAGTATACAGAATCAACGGGACAAGGCACAACTGAAAGGGTTTGTGGATTATTTGTACGACAGTGAAGCTGTATGAAGTCCACAAAGTGGAATGGCATCATTACACGGTATATTATTATCTATTATTATTATTCAGGCGGAGCGAAACCGTTTGAGCGTAAGGTCTACCAGAAAGAAGCCGTGTGAGATGTGATCTCAACTTTGAACTTGAAAGGGGATCTCTAATACACGTGTGGATGCGAACTCACACACAAATGTGCGCAAACACACAAACACGCATACACACACACACACACGCACACACACACACACACACACACACACACAACCAGACAAACACACACACACACACATACACACACTTACAAACGAACAGGCAAACTCACCCATGACTCACTCTTGTGCCGCATTCGAAGGTTCATTTTGCAGTCTCAAACTCAAACACTCTGATACGAATGAAATATCTTCCTCTTCCCACACCCTCTCATCCTCCGTTTCTCCTTTCTCATGCACCCTATCAACCCTCACCCCCTTTGTTTCCTGTTGCTGTTTTTATCAGCTAACATTTCCCTTTTTCATGAGGATTATCAGAGGATGGTGCCATTTTTCCTCTCTTTGTTCGTTTCCTCAGTTGTCCCTCTTTCATGACAAAAAGAAGACAGTCCTGTAAGTTTGATGGTGAGCAACTACATGTACTTATGATTTAAATTTTGCACGCAGGAGATGTGAGTTCGAATTTCCTGTTGGTGAATTTTTGTCGAACATTTCCATCTTTCTGCTGGTGCAAGTGCTGTCCAAACAACTACATTTTTTCCCTCTCAAGCCCGAGTATGTAGTGTAAAGGTTTAGGCGCTTCGCTTGTAAACGAAGAAGATGTGAGTTCGATTCCTAAATTCTCCAGTCTCTGCTGGGAGACACATTGGAATAAACTAACTAATAATAAATTACAACATCAAGCCCAAACTGGGTCCACGAAAACCTTCGGGCCTCTCCAGAAATGACAAAGTCCTTTTCACTCGATTACGTATCGGACACACTTCCCTGACACATAAGTACCTCCTACAGGGAGATGGAAAACCGTTCTGTGTCGGGTGCGACACATATTGCTCCATTAGACACATCTTAACAGAATGTCAAGACTTTGTAGAGACCAGAAGGAAGCATTTTAGATGCCAAAAATTGCAAGGTCTTTTCTCCGTCTTTGATCCCAACAGAATTTACAATGAATTGTAAAAATCATTTTAATTCAAAGTAAAAATATAGTCATTTTTAAATCGTTATTTTACCACAAATGTTTAACTCTTCAATCTGACCATTGACCTAAGCCGGGCCGTGCTGTGAACAGAACTGTTGTGAATGCAACCAACTTGTGTTTCGCGCGCCCACAATATCTTATACAGTTGTGAGCGCCGTAAAACTCTTACTAAACTAAACTAAACTAAACTAAACTAAACTAAACTAAACTAAACTAAACTAAACTAAACTAAACTAAACTAAACTAAACTAAACTAAAGACCTCCTGCGACTTCGTTGGGCACATGTTTCACTATTATTTTTTACTTCTTTTTTTTTTGGGCAAGTGTTTTACGGCGCTCGCAACTGCATAAGGTCACATGAGCGAGCGGGACACATTAAATATTTTCAGTGGGTAGGAAATTTTGAAAGTTGCCCGGGTGGCGGCCGAAGCCTACTTTAATCGATTTTAGACCACGGGATCTTTAGTGTGCGCAACTTGTCCGAGAAGGCTAGGCGTAGACCTTTCCTACCAGAAGATCATGGGTGTGGCTGAAAGACAGCAGTAAGAACGGGCCAAGGAGAAGCAGTAGAAAGGCTAAAGAAAGGGTCAGGGGCCCAGAGGAGGGAGCAAAGAAGGTGAAGGGATGGGGGCAGAGAGTGGAGATGAAAGAAAGCAGACGACAGAACATTGCTAGAGAGCAGGAAAGGAAGTGAAATGAGAACATTTTAGAGAAGAAAAATGTTTCTGTTGCTACCCGGATTCGAGATTGCAGGTTCGGGGGTTTGAGCGTAAGCTCGACCCGACGTTGTGTCCTTGGGAAAGGCACTTTACACGAATTTCACACTTGGCTCGGTCCTTTCGGAGACTGACGTTAAACTCGGAGGCCCCGCCTCTTAAAAAACCTAATAGTGTTGATAGGGGCGCTAAACCTATACCATTTCACCATTTCACCCGGATTCGAACCCGGGACCTTTGAATGAGAGGCGAACAACTTAACCTCTAGGCCACGAGAGCCCCGTTTTTTACTCCAGTTTTATGCTGCTGTTTTCTTGATTTTAGTTCATTTGTTTTTTCTTTTCCTCTGATCTTTGATGTTACATACAGGCCTAATAGTTCATCATCATCATCATCATCATCATCATCATCATCATCATCATCATCATCATGAAGTGCCACAGACATCAACAATATTAGGGCTCTCCATTCACTTCTTTGCTTGGATGCTTTCTCTCTCTCTCTCTCTCTCTCTCTCTCTCTCTCTCTCTCTCTCTCTCTCTTTATAAACAAATCAATTAATAACAATGGCGTCCTGTGTTTAAATTTTTTTGGAGTTGAAGCCAGTTTGGAAAAGTAGAAGTTATTGTAAGGTGTAATGGCCCCAGGTAGGTAGATCATAATGTCTGTTGTGGTGGTGGTTTGATTAATTACTTGTAATTACATTCGGACTTTGTTTTGTCTTGAGCTTCAGTGGTTGATACCCGTTGTGGAAGGATGTTCCAGATTTTAAAGTCAGCAAGTGTAACAAGTGTTCTACATTTGAAGTGATCTTTTTGTGTCAGTGAGGGTATCAGACTCCTAAAAAAAGTAACCATTTATGGATTGAGGGACCTTCGATTAAAAGAGCTGCAGAGTTTACCTACCACAGAAAACTGCATCTCCTCTCGTTGCTCAACGACAACAGAGGATGAAAATTATGTAAAACTAAAGTAACCATACCCGTTGGTGCTCATATGATCGTATGCAGTTGAGAGTGCCGTAAAACCTTATTAAAACTAACTAAAACATACCGGTGCAGCTCAGCTCAGCTCATGTAAATGTGTTGGACAATCGTACGGATGGCTCCTGTTCGAATCCCAAAGTGGTGTATTTGACCTTGCTTAAGGCTTTGAGGAGGAGTTGTTAAGACTTTTCGCCTATTCGGCTCGGCCCTGTCGGAGACGGATTTTATTTCGAAGGTCTCGCCTCCCAAGTGGCGTTGCAGTGATCATAGTAGGCCTACCGGTAATTAAAGTTATTGTTATACATGTGATTATCTTATAAGAGCATTTAATTCATGCAACATTCTTAGAAATAAATTACAATACGCGTCTTGCCTATAACAGACTGTGGAGCAGAAATAACCCAATGACCAGTAGCACTAACACAGTACATGAGATGCTATTTTTCTAACCAAATTACTATGTTCAGTTCAATAGACGACTAACCTGTGTGATTTATCTGTGCCCCCCC